TACGAGGTAAAATTCATTTTAGGCGGCGCTTTATAGGGCACGCTTTGCAGAACGCGGTTTACGCGCTCTAGCGCGCGCGCGGGCATATAGGGCCCCTCGCGCGATGAGGCGCTCTAAACTTGGCAAGATTACGCGTAAATGCGCCGGCTGTGTTATTGATTCGCGCTCGACGGTCTCCGACTGACTGAGAAAAATACGAAAGCCTAGATAGTACGTCGCTTCATGTTGTGCTTGGCTCGGTCGCACGTTGTTGGGAGCGAACTTTCTCGATGTCGCTTCGCGACTTTTGCTTCATATGTACGTATTATTACAATTACGTCGTAATGTGTCGTGTGAGTATGAACGTGGAAAACTGAGACCTAGATCATGCGTCGCGATACGAAATTTCAGCAGCGAATGCATACTAGGAAAAAAGTTTAGTATCTCTAACAAAACTGTTCAGTCGAGGCATTTTTCAATAGCAATCAAATATCTTGTTTTATATAACAAAACATTTAGTTAGTCTCAACTAAATATATTTTTTCTATTTTGTTCTCTGGACCAAATGATCTTGTTCTCAGACTTCATATATAAAAATTAAGCATTTCAGTTATTCATCCATAAAATCCATAAAAATTACATAATAACGAAATATTATTTTACATAAACTAAAATAATGCCCGATGGATACTATTTTGTCCTCCTGTGCACTAAAATTTACATTTTGTGTATTAAGAAAAAATTATAGCATTTTTAACGAAATTCATATAGTTGAAGCTTTTTGGTTGCTATAACAAAAGTATTACGTTATACACGAACAAACCGTAATACAAACAAGATATTTGTTTACAGGAAGTAAGCAGTTTTGTTGGGCATATTTTAACCAAATTATTTCGTTGTTACAACAAAGTTTTGGTTCGTGCAACAATACATTTTTCCTAGTGTGCGTCGCGACGAAATAAACGTCGTTAATCGCCGATCAAAGTTATTGCGCCGAGGAGCCCAGAGTCGTCCTCACGCGCCTCGCGCAATTCGCGAAGTCGCAATGCCGACGCGTGCGTCGCGTCGGGGAGCGCCTCTCGCCGCCCGGCCGGGAATTCCAAAGTTCGACGAGACGAAGACGATCACGATCGCGATCGCGTTGTTAGTCTTGTCGTTACCGATGCGAGGAAGAAATTACTCTCGTGAGCTATCTCGGAGCGGTCCCGGGCGCACTCTCCTCTACCCGAGTACGAGAGTTATGCGTTAGCGTTCTATGAAAGGCCGAGTACGAGCTGCCGGGGGCAGCCTGCTTTCGGCTCTTGTCATTTGTCTTCCTCCGAGATAGAAGCAAAGTTCCAAAGACCGCCCCAAGTTGCGTCCCGGGCGGATAGGGGCCGACGTCACCCTAAATTTTCACGCTTGCGGAATTAATGGCGGCGTCAGTTTGTAAAATCTTCGTTAACGTCGCGGGAAGTCGCGGCACGATGTACGTTCCGATAGTTTAAATCGAGTAGGTCGAGGTAGACAGCGAGCCAGAAAGAGAGAGAGAGAGCGGGAGAGAGGGGAAGAGAGAGAGAGAGAGAGAATGAGCAGGTAAGAGTGAAGGCAAGAGGGAGAGGGCAGAAAACCGGTCGTACGTAATGGTGAGATAGATCCTAATTCACCCGTCGGAGTCGCGAAAGCGGAGAAAAATCATCGGCGGCACGTTGCTTTTATTTGCGAACTTTCAGCCGGACGGTCGCGATCTTGCAGTCAGCTACGAGATAACTCTTATTTGACAGTCGATGTATTTATCACCGCGTCAGGGATGAATCGTTAAGTCGGAAGGAACCGCTTTAAGTTTTAAGTGGCGTGTCCGCTAGTCGCACATGTAACGAGGCTTCCGTCGTCTTGTTAGAAGCTTTAGAATTGAAATTGACATCTGGTGTTTTGGAATTGTTTCATTATACTTCGAGATAAATTCCATTCGGTTGATAAATATAGAAAAATGGGACAGACGATCGATGTCGGGAGCGAAAAGAATCAGATTAGTTAGACTAAATATTCGAGCAGAGAAAAGAATGGATAAAGAGGAGCAGTAGATAAAAAGAGAGAAGGGGAATAGAATAACAAGCGAAATGAGACAGCGAGATACAATGTAACGATCAATTTTAGCTTGCAACGACACGTGACACATTTCGATAACGAAATGCCCGCGATTCGTAAAGCAGAACGACGTTGCTTGTGGAATTTTCTGCGCGAATGTTTACGGTAATGTGGACGTTCGTTATATCTCCGTCGACAATGTTTGCGAGCCAAACAAGACAAGTTATACCTGTCTAAACGTGCACATATGCGTCACGGTATCTCTGGAAAGATTAAGCGCGAGTTCACAACCGACCGTTTAAGCGCGTACCCAACCGCGCAGGGTTATCGTCTTTAATTCCCTCCGTCGTGTCTCCGTAAATTTAATACTCAACTAAAAACACAGCCCCGTCTGCTCTTCCGTCTTCGATGAAATATGGACGCGGAATACGCGCGTTCGGCGCTTTTAACGATCCGCTTCAGCCCGCGCGCAATCCCGAAGAGCTACTCCCGACTCGCGAAAATCGCGGGTTCGAAATACACCGCGGGAGTGTCCCGCGAGCGAATCCCGCGAATTGTCATCGCGTCGCGGACGCGGCCTCCACGACGACGCGCCTGTGGTGCGATTCTATAATTCGTTATTGGAGTTTTTAACGGTGCTTTCGTTATCGTTGCGCAGCTTTTGTATATATACCGTAGAAAAGCTGCGCGAGGATAACGAAATTGCCGTTAACTTCAATAACGAGTTAAAGAATCGCTGGCTACTGGCCCCCCCTTTGCGTCGTCGATCGCTCGCGACTCGACGGTTCCGACTGCAAGGAGAAGGAGGAGGAGGAGGAGGAGGAGGACGAATAAAAAGTCGTAATTGTCGAGCGTCGTGAGAGCGACCTGCCTGCCGACGACCGCCGGCGCTGAAATTTTTGTCTCCGGGTGTAAGGCGCAGAATTACATTTCCCCGTGCGCCACGAAATGCAAAAAGGGCAGCTGCGACCTCCCCCCCCCCCCCGCTGAGCGATTTACTCGCGCGATGAAAAGGGAGTGTTTCGCGATCGAGCGCGTCAGGAGCGCGCGGCATAATGACGTGGGCGAGAGAGCGCTGGCGGATGATGATTCGAGAATTCTGTAACGCTCGCGCCGATTACGCGCCGCGCGCTGCCTGTGGAAGAGCAACACGTTAATTGCGGAGGGCGACGGGTCTCCTTTTCCCCGCCGCGCCGGCTTGATGCCGGCGATGTCATGCGAAATCGCGGCTTGCGGGACTCGTGGAATGCGCATAAATCAAATCGAAACGAGAAGCCCGCGGCGGATCGCTGCACGTTGTGACACGCGTTTGGCTCGTTAAGAAATCGTTAGTGACTCGGTAACAAAACTGCGGGAGCACCGTGAACACGTAATATCTCTCCCGGGCGATCTTAATCGCTGGGCTATTTTTGTAACGTTTGTTCCGCGATATTACGTAGCAACTTACGTTGTCAATTTTACGAGCACGCGATGCTCGTAAAATCCGCCGGAGTTGAAAGCTAAGGTCAGAATAAAATTCTCATCCCCGGGAGAAATCGAAATATTAATTTCGTTGTCTCATTGAGGGAATATCCAATATTATAAGGAATAATAATGAATGAATAATAACGATGAAACATCAATTATCGAGATTACTTTCGTCGCGATCGTCTCGGTGGGGCGCGCGGCAACCGCTTGGCGTTTTACACGACTTTTTAACGACTTGGACGCGAGTCCGCCGGCGAATTCACAGCGTGCGTGCTAATCTTTCATAATTAATTTATCGAGACTCGCGAGATTCTCCCAGTCGCTGTGGCCACTCCTCCTCCCCCCCCCCCGCGGTGGAGGGAGATCCGGCGGATGCGCGTTTAAGCGCCGTGCCGGCGCGTTATTAAAGCGGCGCAGAAACACCTGGATCCACGAGTTTGCAGGTGGCTGCGAGGATCTTCTCCCTTCGCCGTCGGTCGGGGTCGCCCTTCGGAAACGCGTGCGGCGTTACCGCGACGAAAAGCGGGCAAGTATCGCGCCGGGTAATAAAAATAGTCGACCGATTTTCCCCTTTCGCCATCGTGTCGTGACCGAAACGCGATCGATTAACCCTTATGTACACACCCGAGTACCCGGGTGCCCACCTCGTCATATTTTTCCTTATAACTTGAATAAAAATTGAATCTCGACCTGAGTCTTCAAATCCCCATTATTTAACTCTTTTAACACATCGATCAATAAGTCCCGGGACTAACTACTAAAACAACATTTGCTTGCCAAAATTCTTCTTTATTCATCAACGTAGTCTCCTTCAAGAGCGATACATTCATTCCAACGCTTTCCTAACTTTTCTATGCCAGCCGCGTAGAACGATCTTTGGTTTCAAAATAGGCGTTAGTTTCGGCAATCACTTCTTCATTGGAGCCAAATCTCTTTCCCTGGAGCATCTTTTTTTCTTTGAGATCTGCGAACAGCCAATAATCGCTGAGGGGGCCAGATCTGGAGAATACGGTGGGTGCGGAAGCAATTCGAAGTTCAACTCATGCAATTTGGCCATCGTTACCATCGACTTGTGACACGGTGTAGCGTCACTAAAACCACTGTAACTCAATGACACAATGTCGGAATGTCATGAAAACTTGACACGTAACTTCTAAAGGTTGGTACTATAGCTGAGAATGGTATGGATTTGTTATTAGAGGCGCCATTTGTTGGTTAGTCCCGGGACTTATTGATCGATGTGTTAGAAGCTAAAAATACACTGGTAAATTTTTTTCAAATTTTTTGAACCTAAACCAAAAATGACGTTAAAGTACATGTGCTTAGCGGGCACACCCGGGTACCCACTAGATGAAAAACGATGTTTTGACTCTTGGAATTAATTAATATCATTGATAAATATTTCATTGAGGTAACAGAGGTTAATAAATAAACAATTACAATAATTTTCAAGGTAAATTAGAATGTATTTACATTTATTTAGCGCAATCAATACATTTAATTGTCGATACACAGTGTTCATCGCAAACAGGCTTTTCGCAAACTGAACAACATTTTCGCGTTTTCCTGCGTCTTTTGATCGTTTCTTTGTAGCAAACATGACAAGAACCTGTAATTTTTTTTCCTACCAGTACTGTCTCGAGGTTGAGTTTGTTCTTCAGAAACAGCGGAAGGAGCAAGCTGTAGCCCGTGTCACGTCGTGAATCGTGAATGTATATGTGTTTATCCTTTTTTGAGGTCAATAGATTTAACTAATTTACCTCGGGACGGACTGGTTTGTGTGAATTAGATTTTAAACTGGAATGAAGAAGGATCTTTAGGATTTAATCTAAGGAGACGAATATTTAAATATCGAATCTTTAATTTTTACCTTTTACAGTTGAGAGTCAATTGATCAGAGTGTTAAGAGTGTTTTCTCTGTGTGTTTGAGTCGTGAAGTGATTTGATGCAAGAATGAATGAATGAATGAATGAATGAATGAATGAATGAATGAATGAGTCAATGAGTCTATGACTGAATCGCTCCACTGGTTTGCGCGTCGCCTTTTATAAGCAGGTGAGATAAGGTGGTGAGATACCCCCGCGCGAGTTCTTGTCATCTTATTAGTAGTAGGGGAAAGATGTTTCTCATGATATAAGAGTGATAATCAATAATCGCGGTTATGGTATTTATTATCTATCCATTGTTCTTTTAATCTTCTCCGATGAAGAAGCATTCGGTGTCATATTTATTACGTCTAGACCGAGGATCAAGTGGCCAAAATATCCGGTCTAAACGTTATTGTTGAAATAAACGTTATTGTTGAATTTATGATCGAATTTAGAAATGTTGTTTAAAGTTACGTGGACGTAACACCCGATCACGCTCTCAATCACAATTTTTGTATTGTAGTTCACAGAACGACCTTCAATTAAAGGTTTTGCCAGTTCCTCACTCAGTTGACGCAAGAAAGTACGTCGCTGATTAATTTTCTTTTGGATCATTTTGTTGTTCTCATAATAAATTATATATGAAGCAAGAGCGCCTACGTCTAAGATATTGAAAAACACAGCAAGAGGCCATCTCTCAGTGCGCCTGTGTGTGATATATCGCCTTACCATTTGATCCATTGTATCTATGCCTAGTTTTGTATTTATTATAATAAGTGATCATGTGAGGCTTTTTCTTTTCATCGTCATTTACAACAGAATCAGAGTGCATTGTCGATAGTAAAACTACAGCTTTGTTTTTCTTCGGCACGTACGAGCAGAGTGCAACATGTTTGTACCAAACCAAAGAGAGTAGAATATTCTTCTCTAGATTTATAGGGAGCCATTTGTTTTGGAATGTAAGGCTTATTTTTTCCCAAAGTACCAACAATAGTTAATTTCCATGGCAATAAGTGTCTAGCAAGAGGCAAAGTAGTAAAATAATTATCCATGGTAATATTTCTGCCACTCCCTTTGAATGATGCTGCAAGTTCTTTTACAACTCTCCTTGATTTTTTTCACGAACATTTCCAGTTTTTCCTGAGTAAATAATCCCATACAGAGGGTAGGCATTCTCGGCATCGCAAATCCACCAAATTTTGATCCCGTACTTAGCTGGCTTCGAAGGTATATATTGCGTAAACTTTGTCTGGCCTCGGAAAAAGGATAAAGCTGCTCATCAATTGTCAAATTTACTGTCGGCTTGTACATATTACTCAAGTTCGAATTGTCCAAATGTCACGTATAAGAGCAGCTTTATCCTTTTCTGCTTGTGTCTGGCGTCTATCGACGTCGTCGAATCGAATAAATCACATTAGAACAAAATTTGCCGATACCCATTGACGCGCGGTAAAGAGGGTACAAAATACTTTTTCACATTTCACTTGTATGATCAACATTTGAATTATTAACCCCAGAACAAATTAAAACCCCAATAAACGCATACATTTCTTATATAGTTACTGGCATCCACAATCGCTGCGAATCCGCGAATTCTTCGCGTTATAATTATCATATACTGTGTTGGCTTTCTTGTTAGTATACCAAACAATAAGATCTACCATTTCGACTGTAATAATTATTTTGAAAGTATCTCCTATTGAAGTTTCTGTAGATCTATGTGAGCCACTTCTTTGGCGTAAAACATTGCGAGAAGGAGTTTGATGTACTTGAGGCGACGTCTTACTCCAAACGGTTTTGTCTTTCGCTATGTACGCATTTGCATTTTCTATACCTGCTTCATCTGCCACTGGCGCCACATCTGCCTCGCCGCTGCTGATGTACCTGCCGCTTGACTCTCGCTTTCACTCTCGTCGGACTCAACATCGCTCTCTCCTTCTCCTTCGGACGTCTCGCCTGCAGTTTCCACATCTGATGGCGGCTCTTCGGCTAAGGCCTCACCCGGCAGCCAGTTCTCGTCTTCACTGTCGTCTTCGAACTCTGATTCTTCATTGCAGTCTTCAAGTAGATGTTTCAAATATTTATCTCTTCGAGCATGACACAATCTGGATTCAATAAAAATGAGTTTTTCAATTGAAAAATATGATAAAAGCAAGAAAAAGCAAAGAGAATTATATCAGGGAATAATATTTATTAGGAGTACAAATAAGTTTCCGCCGTTTTCTGTCAAAAATTAGGAATTTATTGTGAAAGAACGGTACATTACGTTTTATTCAAAGTATTGTCCATCATTAGCCACTACTTTTTCCCATCTTTCTGGCAGTATTCGGATACCACGTCGGAAGAACTCTTCATCTTTTGAGGCTATCCACGAATCGACCCAATTTTTAGTATCTTCGTATGATGTAAAGCGCTGCTTAGACAGGCCATGTGCCATCGACCGGAACAAGTGATAATTGGAGGGGGCAATATCTGGTGAATACGGCGGGTGGAGTAGGACTTCCCAATTAAGTGTTTCCAAATAGGTTTTGACCGGTTTTGCAACGTGTGGCCGAGCGTTGTCATGTAGGAGAATAATTTTGTCGTGTCTGGAGTGGTAATGGGCGCGTTTCTCCTTGAGTGCTCGGCTCAATCTCATTAATTGTGTTCGGTAGAGAGCTCCAGTAATGGTTTCGCTCGGTTTGAGCAACTCATAATACACGACACCAAGCTGATCCCACCAAATACACAGCATGAGTTTTTTCGATGTTGAAGCATGGCCAGGTGGTCCCCATGATTTTCTCTTCTTTGGGTTATCGTAGTGGATCCATTTTTCATCACCAGTGACTATACGATGCAAAAAACCCTTTCTTTTATGCCTGGCAAGCAGCATTTCACACGTGCAAAATCGGCGTTCAACGTCTCTCGGCTTCGGTTCATATGGAACCCAATTTCCTTGTTTTTGAATCATTCCCAACGATTTTAAACGATGTGAAATTGCTTGTTGAGTCACTTCTAATGTAAGTGCAAGTTCTTCTTGCGTTTGGCACGAATCTTCCTCCAATAATGCTTCCAATTCCGTGTCTTCGTACACTTTCGGCCTTCCACTACGTTCTTTGTCTTCCACGTCAAACTCACCGTTTTTAAACTTTTGAAACCACTCGCGACAACTTCTCTCACTTAAAGCAGTCTCACCATATGCTTCTACAAGCAATCGATGCGCCTCAGCTGCAGATTTCTTCAAATTAAAGAAGTAAATCAAAAGTTCCCGCAAGTGACGCTTATTCGGCACAAAACTTGACATTTTCGCACGAAAAAAATTATGTGATGCTGATACGGAGTCACTAATACTTCAAGGTTATGTTGTTACCAGATGTCCAAACTTACGATATTACGTTTTACATCTGACAATTTCAATATAACCTTCTGGTGGGGCCATCTTTTGTCAAACGGCGGAAACTTATTTGTACTCCTAATACCTCGCAAATTCAGATCTTGATAGTTCTTCCTCCATGATGTGAATAATTTTGCACCGATAAACAATTATACAACACTCACAGAAATGTTAAAAATCAAGTGTTATACAAGGTTAGGAGGTTTCTCCCTTTCTCCCTCGGAAAATCACGGCGTTTATATTCGATTATTTACCAGTTTTCCATTGGTCCACGTTTCCTCTTCGATCGCGAGAAACGTCTCGTCATCGAAACTTAACGGATACACGTTATATAATAATATTCGCTCGAGACTGCCGTCTCACGACACTTTTTCTACTTGGCGATCAGTCACGGCGAGATGTTTTCCTCTTTCGCATTGTTCTATCACATATCTAACATTTGTTTTGATATCCGCGTCGTTATCTGCTTACACACAGTATTTGTCACACAGCGATAAATTATAAATAGAAAAGAGGCGACGCTCTATCAACGCGCTGCTGTGCGCTCAACACGTGGTCCCGGTTTTCTCCCGGCAGTACACGTCTGTCCTCCTCAATAGGACGATTCTGAATAACGCACAGCTGTGTAGCCCTTTGCCTTGATGCTAGAGAGAAAGCCACGTCACGCTACTATCCCTACTACTTAAATTTTGAACATCTGCCGGCCGCCGCAGGTCAAAACTGACCGCGCGCTATCTGTGCAGCGCTCGGAGACCCTGCTTCTATCTCTTTTCGTGGAAGCTGTAGTGGGCTAGGGGACTTGGAAATGGCTTAGATAGTTTCTAGTGATGTTTATTTAATAAAGTAAATTGATTCCAAACGATTCCGTTCATATGCAAACTCAGCAATTGAGAGAAACTAGTGGTGGGCACCCGGGTACCCTGGGTGTGTGACAACGAGGTAAAAGTTGGGTGTGTACATAAGGATTAAACGTGTGACATATTAACGCGACACACTGGATGACTGTCGCTCGCGCTACGTTGCTCTCGGTTGCGGCGGCGAATACCTCGTATTGCGAATCTGAAATCGATAGCGAGGTAGTACTGACACGTATTTCCCTTGACATCCTTCAACGCTACACTGAGAGAAAAGTATATGACACTTGGGACTATAGTGATATAGTAACTAAATTATAGTCCGAAATATCATGTTTATAGTAAGTATTACCATAATATCGGAAATGATTACGATATAGGCATAGTATAACCAAACCATATATTTTTACTAAGAATTATAGTAAGTTAAACTAACTAAAATTATTGTATGGATACAAATGTAAAGTGGTAGGTAAAGTAGTAACTCTTTTATATAGTCAATATTACCAGAATATTTGCTAAATGATGACAGATGTAACTATATGAATATTAAGTCTCACTATATTTGTGAATGAGAAATTACCATATATATGTGGTAAAAGTAACTAAACAATTATTTCAGACAATCATTGACTATATATTTGTGTTTATTCTACTATATTTTGCAGGTTTCCACGAACTGTAAAAATATGGTTGATGCCAAAATGAACTATAAAATATAGTGATATTATAGTTAATTCAACTATATTTTTCTATCAGTGTAAGTTAATCCTCGCGGTCGCGTTGGATTGAATCAGCCATTTGTTGAAGTAAAATCCGCGCTTTGTCGCAACGCTTCGAAATGATTTCTGCGGTAGAAGCTAGTTCAACACTAGTTGCGAGATATGAAATTATTCGCAGAGATATATTTGTACGCGGAATTGCCCTAGGTTTGAAAAGCACCGGGAAAAGCAACACGGGCTTTATTCTGAGAAAAAATCTGAAAAATACGGGCGATCAAATGCTGAAACTCGCAACCGACAAGCAGTCGCGGATTGTACCAGGTTATTCTATAAATAATGCGAGTTTTTCGGCGTAAATTTGAGAGAAAGAAAAACAACGAAATAACAGCCCCAATGGAATTAAAACGGGTTTCAGATACATTTTACAACTGCGTACGATATTAACATCATTTTCCAACTTCCGCGCTAACTTCATCGCTGTTCTTTCGACAAAACATATTTTCCTAATGGATAGTTTTAAAATCTACCACACTCGCTGTTCTAAACCCGACACTTTGCGTAGGAAGAGAGCAAGCCGAATTTTTGTCTCAATTTAATACTCTCGATTGAAGCGCCAAACTTACGAGACAAACATCTTTCGAGCAAACTTCACGCTCATGACGAACTTACGATAGATTTACGAATACGCAAATTTGCGAAAGACTCGAGTAACAATGAACGCAAACTAGGACTCAGCGCGCATCCCTCTGCGGCAATCTGTGGGGTAACGCAAAAGACGCGAAAGCATCTTTGACGGAATGTCGCTGATTGCCGATTTCTCTGCTAGAGAATCTCGCGTCCCTTTCAGCGAGCTGTCGAGGCGACTCGGCGGCGAGATCGCGACAAGCCGATGTCCACTAAGTCGCGACATGACAGCGCCGTCTCGCGCGTTATCTCGCGGCGTTTACCGAAATATGTATGATGAACGAGCAGGCGTAATTAGTCACACCGAGGGACAGGGACTGCGACATCGATTTCCCGCGGGAGAGGGACGCGCCTTACGCTCTCATCAGGGTGAATCTCGATGGCGCAGGCGGCTCCAGAAGAGTACAAGCGCCAGCGCGCGCGCGCGCGCTGTGGTATCCAGTCCTAAGATAGATGGACGCGCAAGTATGCCGTAGTTGCGCGTCAAACGCTCGAGGATTTATGCGCGGGTAATAGAGTTTGGATACCCTCGCGCGCTCATCACATGCGCTTCATTCAGCGGTAATTAAGACGATAAAGCGGCGTCCGGTGTGCGCGCAGTTAACCGCGAGCTTAACATGTCGGTCAAAAGTCTATTCATAAAGGAGCGCGCACACAGGAGGAACGATTTAGTTGAATCTAACAAATGCTTATTTGGAATAGTCGAAATAAATTTTTTGATTGATTGAACCAAATTTTGTTTGACGCAACAAAAAAACACTTCGTTGGAACTGAGCTGCAACAAAATATTTTTGTTGCGTCAAACGAAACTTCGTTCGATCAATCAAAAAATTTATTTGGACTATTCCAAATAAGCATTTGTTAAATTAAATTAAACTAAATCGTTCTCTCTGTGCAGCTATACGCCGCCGGAAATCAGACACGCTGGATCCTTTTCGTGCCCCGCAAACGCGCTTCCTTTCCTCTCTCTCTCTCTCTCTCTCTCTCTCTCTCTCTCTTTGTATCTTTCTCTCGACGCGGAAAACGCGAACATCCTTGGTATAAATTTTCATTTGCCGTGCCCCTTCCCCGCGCTCGCGCGTTCAGCTTTTTGTCCGCTCGGCGGCGGACCGATTTCTTTTCTCACCCTTCCCCCTCCCCCCGCCCCCCGTCGGAGGCGATTTGCGGAAGTGGCTGACAAACCGGCGCGCGGTTTCGCGCAGATTTCGGTCGTTTATCAAGTTTTCGGTACAGCTCTAACAGCGGACGCCCAACTATTTTCGAAGCCCGCAGCCCAATTTACCGTTAACCCAAGGGGGCCATTACCAGCCACTCGAACTAGGAATAGTGATCAAAGTTTAATTGCACCCTTATCGTAAAGTTGTACCTACTAACAAAGTCTACCTTGGCCGCGAGAAGCGCTGATGACGAACTATTTACTTCATTGAAGCGTGTTAATACCCCGAATCTGTTAACCGACTCGAGTGTCCGTGTGACCGGCGAGTGGGCTTCTCTCCGACTACGTTTCCAGACGAGAGCGATCACGCGTGGAGAGATCCTTTTTATTCTCGTTTAACGTAATCAAGATCGTTCTTAATGGTCGAATGCTCATCGATAATTCTCCACGCATTGAATTTCTACGGCGACGCATAGCTCTGTATGTCGCATTTCACTCGTCGGCGGCATAAATTTGCTGAAATTCTGTGAAATCGCGAACGAGGCCGCGGGAGGATAGTCATATTCTCAAACGAAATAACGTAATATCACATTAATCGTTTATTGGTCCTGTAGGATAAGTTACATATGTATACATGTCAGTGAATGTTACGATCTGAAAAGTCGCGGATACAATTTTAACAATTGCTGATAACGAAAGTAACAGTTTGAGTAAAATTGCAAATAGCATACAAGATTGCCGTATTATCTCCGTGTTTCTCGAACGGAAATGTAGGAAAAAGAGACGTCGGTATTATTAATGCGGTAGTATATCTGCCCCCCCCCCCCCCCCCGCCCCGTGAAAACGATTACGCTCGCGTCCAGTGACCTGAAACGATTTGCAAAAACGCATCGTAATTCTCCGACAAAAATAATGTCAACTTCTACCTGAAAACCGAAATTTATCGATTCATCGTATATGTACACGCGGATTATATACTTTTCTTTGTTACGAATCATGAGCAGATCTTTCTTTCTCTCTCCTGCTCTCGCTTTCTCCTTTGATATCGCAAATACATTGCTACGGTTTATTTAAAAAATAATGTATATTATTTGACACGAACTTTTGATCATACTTAATATAAATGAATATGTTACATTTGTGTTTCATCCAATATATTCGCGTGAAACGCGGATGGGTATACTTGATCATGCGGAATGAAAATTTCTCATGTCGTCCATCATATGTACGTATAAAGACGAATGAAATCAATATGCAATGATGGGATTTCTGAGTACATAGCACTCAAAAGTATCGTGCACAGTGTCACATGATGAATTTCAGAATTAGATACATCGTTAAGAATTCGATAATAATAAATTCTTTTCTTTGATCGGCGAATTCATATCTCTCTGATTCGCGCACGAGAAACCAAAATAATATGTAAAAATATATTCACGCTTATGATCCGATCGTCACGCAAATCCATTGCCATTAAGGGCCGTTTATGCTACATCCGTCATTCTCTCATTCACTTCACTCGCTTCTGTTGTCTTTGGCGGTAAATATCGTTCGCTGGCGGAGGCGGTAAATCTTCTTCCTCGCTATCGTCGCCGCCCAAGCGCGTACGTCTACGCTTCGGTCCCGTGCTCACGCCGTCGTTGCTCTCGTCGACGATCCAATGCACAGATTTCGCGAGGTCGAACAGCTTCGTGTCACATCCGTTATCCGCTACCGGCAACGGAGCTGTGGACAGTTTCAGTCGTGTTAAACAAAAAAGACTCTCTAAGAAAAGACCAGCGTATAATTAGACATTCTAGTATTATTTCATTACCGTGGTCGGGTAATTGGATTCTACTGAAAACATCTGTAAGTAATTCAACAGCGACAAACGGGCCCCTGAAGCAACCGGGTGGCGGCAACATTGTGCACAATTGAGCCGCAGCTGGTGGCAATGGAAACGAACCACCTATAATACACAATAACAAACACGAATAATATATAGTTTACGCCGAGTATATTTGTTAAACAAATACGCGCGAATACCTACCCGGCACCGGGTGTTCACCAGGCAGAGCGTTCACCTTCGGCTTGTACGGAATCATTTGCGACAAATCGGGTCGAGGCAAAGACGCAATCGCTTCTTCCGGGTCGGGTACGCGAGGTAAAGCGCCTATTGAGTTTCTGGCGACGTTAGATACTTCCATGTATCCTATCGATCTCAGTTCCATCGGAGTGCATGGATATAAATCCAAAAATTTATATCTATCCACTAGCTGAGCGGTCTCTTTACCTTCAAATTCCTTGATCTAATAGATGAAAAAAAAATAGCAATGATTGAAATATGTAATTAAATCGTTTCTCGATTCTCGCAACATAACGGACTAACACGAACCTTTTCTAATACTGCGCTGCGTCTCTTTTCCACCTTCACGATGCTCGCCAGATCCCCAATGTTTGACTCAAATTCTAGAAAGCGATTCCATATGTCCCTGCAAACAAAATATATCTTCGTAATAAACGTTTGCTTACAATAAACGAAAGTTACAGTATGATAAAAAGTTGCAAAACGATAGAAAAGTTCCGATATTCTCTCTATACGTACACTGATTTTTCCGGCTCTAAACTGCCGGAAGATAATACTCGCTCAAACAAGACTCTCGTATTGTTATCCTCTGTAACGTGGAAAAAATGTGCATTTTAGTGACAACGTTTGGACATTTTCCGGGTGTGAAAACGTAGAAAAAATTTCTTACCGTTCAGGTGAGACAAGTAATCGATGTAACAGAGAATATAATCAGGATTATCGCCGAATTTTTTTAAACCTAACTCAAAAATACGGAATGCTATATTTTTGTCTTTAGTGCAATAATATTCCATCAAAGCGGCAGCTACATAAACATGATGTTTGCATCTTGCGTCTTCTCGCGCTCGCTTGAACACTGTCCTCGCGGATTTGATACCTTCCGCTCTTCTCGCGAATTTCATGTATTGCACATACGCCTGTAAGAAAGCACAGCGGACATTTCAGCACGTTCCTTGTAACATCGCGATCATATAGTGTATAAATATACTAACCAGAGTGGGATCTATGTCGGGAATATCGAGGAATTTCTGATAGATCTGATGTACTTTCTCGTACTTGACTCTACCCTCTTCAAAATCCGCGTGCGCAAAGTATAACAACATATTCTTCGACAATAGCGTATTCGTAGCCCTCTCGAACATGGTTGCAGCCTCGTCACTAAGATTTTTGGAAGCATTTACGTCCCCCTTCTCCGTCAATATTTTGGAGCTAAGTTCTAAGAAATGCGCCGCCTGATGCCACACCGCGGGATGATGACCCAGACAAAGAAGACACTGCTCGATCGCGAACATAACTCTTCGCGCCACGAGCGAGGTGTCTTCTGTTCTGAGAGGATTACTACGTTCCCATGCGATGTATTTTTTCCATAACTCGACCTGAAAGGAAGAATGTCCGTATATAAGTTGACTAAAGACAAAGTGAAAGAAAGAAGGGGGAGAGAGAAAGACATAAAGAGAACAAAGGAAAAAAAAAAAAAATACCTGCTTTACTTCCTCGGGATGACCAGTTGGAGGGATGCTGGGTGCGCTTCTATTCAGTCCTCTCGTGACCGCTTCCAATTCCTTCGCTACGCGCCTAGCGTTCATGTAATCTCGTGATCTCTCGATCGCCATTTTCTCCGCGATTATTGGATTGATGTTCTGCTCGAACGACATGTAGTCTTTCCACAACTGCTCCATGTTTATCATAGGGTTGATCACACCACGTTGATAAACCTGCAACACGATAATTATTATAGTTGCATTCGCGACTTTAGACCATTCATAAAACAATAATGACAATTGGATTGATCGCGCTGATTGTAGATTATTCGGAAATATTTAGTGCAATATGCTGGATACCTTTCGTACGGCGCTGATTTTTTGGTTCTCGGCGTATGATCCGACCGCGTCCACGCTCTTCAGGAACATAACATAATCGTTCCAAATGCTGTAGGAATGTATGTCCATTCCAATTTTGTCTAATGCGAAGTCGTACGCTTGTGCCATTTTCTCCCTAAAAGAATGTTTCGATTAATCTCTCGTTTCTTGTCTCGTCTTATGAAACAGTAATTAGTTTCATTAGACAAGTAAGCTGCTTTGAGTATTACACTACCATTCGTAATTTTTTTCACACTGATCAAAATTACAAAAGAGAGAGAGAGAGAGAGAGAGAGAGAGAGAGAGAGAGAGAGAAACAAATGGACTAAATTTTGACAATGTATGTTTCTGAAGAAAAAAAAAGAAAGAAACTTTCTTGTACTTACTTATAAGTAGCTAGACTCGCTTTTGTTTCTTTGACATAAGAAAGGTATAGTTTCCACAATTCAATATTTAATATTTTCATGAGGCACCTTTGGAAAAGCTGTCAGACAAAAGAGACATTTTAGAAATGAATCATAGCAATTAATAACCAAAAACATACGTCGAAAATATAAAGCTTTGTCTTTGCTCGGTCCCAGAGGAAGATATATATATGTATATATCTACCAGGTTACTTACCCATACAGGCAAGTTTTATTTAAACACATCTTTAAACATTACATTTACATGAGCCACGGAACATATCGTACATTAGAATATTGTCAGATATATATATATGTATCAACAGGGAATTTATTAAGAAAATTTTCAATGATATACAATCACCTTCACCTAACAATAGTGTTCCTACGTATAAATTGGGATAAATAATAATGCACCAATGCATCAATTGAGAATAGTTTATTGCATAAACATATGAATTTTATCAATAGCAATAATGAAGAAAATATTCTCTATATGCGTTTCATATAATAATAATAATTATAATATGTACCGTGTTGTAGCTTAACACGGAGTAGCCCCACAAAATGAAAAATTTATTTATTTTCTGCATGTGGGGCCGATTGTAGAAGAGTGAACCTATGTGGGATCCGGAAATGAGCGATCCCAAGACATAATAAAAAAATGAAGACAAAGTGAAGCAGCATAAGGTGATGACGGCGTACAAACAACATCATTTATATCGTATAAATAATGTAAAAAATGTACATTATTTACTGAGACCACTGAGTTATATGATCACTTTATGCTACCTCTAGAAACATTCACAATATTTGAGCTTTCATCCGTGAGATTGGAATTGTCTCAAATATCGTTAAAAGGGAGGGTGAATAGTGGAACTTCCCGTACTCATAGTTGAATAAAGCGTCATAGGTATACACTTCAAAATCCTGTGCTCTGACTCGACATGTTTTATATTCACGTAGTGCAATTTTCATTATGTGTTTCTCCTATTTATTAACGATTCTACTTTTTTGTTTCCAACTACGTTCGTGTACGACTTATAATAAAACGCGTCCTAAACAAGAAACAAAAGTATATACTGTAGGAAGGAATATAAGGCTATTACATTCAGAAAGTTGCCTTCTTTGGCTTTTCTTTGCTGTGACAATGGTGCATCTTCAGAAAGTGAACCTTACAGCAAATAATGCAAAGAGGAAACTGCTTTCCACTTGCCAAAGAAAACAACCTCCCGAACATGTAAACAGATCAGTCATTAATCAATGAAATAATTGGCTTGTGGTGAAATAGTCTTTTTATTCACCTCTTATAATATGCAAACTGCTCAAAATCACATTGTATGATAATATTTGGACATTGTGTTAGTAATACCCTAAAGTTCTAATCTGTTACATTATAGCAACAGAACAAAAATGAAGGCACCCGTACTTGTGAAAACAGAGTTTAAAGTGCGTTGATCGCACAAAAAGAGAAAGGACCCATGTACTAATTATCATTATTAATTAATTAAAATTAATATAACGGAAATTGTATAAAATTATATCATTCTCCTGTATTAACAGATACAAATTTCAATGACTTTAATTGTACCGTGAGAAATAGACTTTATCGTGAAACATTCTTCTAATCCACAAAATATTTTACTTTATTGTATATTTACGATTTATTTATTTAGCTAATCAAGCTGAGTTTTCTGTGTGGCACTTTTGGGGATATATATGTATATGTATATGTACAAAGAGCTAACATAATTAACAACATATAAATATACATAAACCTATATACACTAAACTTAAATTCATAGAATTATTGTTAACATACCTTTTCCACCTTTTCAAAGTTCCGCATTTTCATCTGAAAAAACAAGCGATACATAGAAATTAAAATACAATCATAAGTTTCAATGTATCATTTTTAACAGAAGAACAAAAGGCACTTAAGAACCTTTTTGTTATTATGTCACAAAATATGGAATATTAGCGAAGCAATTTCCATCATTACTTTGTAAAGTCATCACTAGTCATTACCTCTTGCTCAATGTAAATTTTCCAATAACGTCCAGCCGACGGGAATACGGAAACAAGTTTCTCGAACACCGGTCTTACTTCTGTGATAGGCCTGTTCTGTGCTTCTCGTATAAGAATACTCCATGCTTCCAGGTCGTATGATGACTTCTCGACGGTCTTCTGAGCACGTTGTAGCTTTTCGTTCCCCCAGTCCTATACAAAAATTTTAATACGTGTTACATTCAAAATTCAGTCGTTCGACTGGTCCGTATAAAAGTCTTCAGACTTTCGTGCCACATAATCATGCAAAAATGGGTTCCATAAAACAGGAAGTTTGAGGGTTGGGCGGGCCAGAAAATTGGGATGTATAAATACTTACGAATTCCGTTTTGTCTTCTGTCATTTTATATCCTATCCGTAATCGGCGATATGCGATTTAATTATTCGCGAATTACACGTGGAAAAACGAAATAACACGCTTCTAAGGACCTACTGTACAGAGTCGCTCTCAAACGAGTCCAAAAAATGGCTGAGAATGGCTTTACGTATGCAATGCGACAAACACGTTGTACACAACTGTACTTTTTAACGTGCACTTCCTGCACTTATAGTAAAGTGAACATATTTCGAGGTTATTGACAAGAAAAAAAAAGAATGGAAAGAATATGCAGAAGTGCGATCGAAAACGACTCTCGTTATTTTGCTTGTACTTCTAAATTTTTTATTTTTCTCTTACTCTCTCTTCGACATGTATGCATAATTCTCGCGCATCAAATGCACAAAGTGCATCCAAACGAACTGAACTTATCCCAACGCTACAGCTAATTGGTCTGTTCCTTTTAGCTGCACTACTGAACTGGTGCAATAAATTAAAGTGAGAGAAAATATAGTTGTCTCATTCTAACTTACTTGCACTAGTTCCGCAGTGCAGCTGAAAAGAACAGACCAAATACCATAACGTGTCTGTTGCTTCCGCAAGAACGAAAGATGTATAGTCTGTTCTTTTTAGCTACACTGCGGAATTAGTGCAATAAGTTAAAATGAGACAACTATATTTTTTCTCACTTTAACTTATTGCACCAGTTCAGTAGTGCAGCTAAAAAGAACAGACCAGTAGGCTGTGTTCACTGCCAGCACTGAAAATCTATATTATTCGTGACACAAACTATGTATTTTCAGTAGTGGCAGTGAATATCAGAACGCAGCCTCTGATTGGCAGCCGTTACAGTTGTTTCCAGGGTACGTTCGTGCTCAAAGCGACGATTGTCGTATCGAAGTATGTACCGACTTCGATATAACGACTCTCGATATATCGAACGCACATCAATATGGCGGCCATCGCTCAAACGCGCGCGTTCGTTTTTCGTCTTACAAAATACATCGCGAAAGTCGGAAATAGTTATAAAATTTATTGGCGAATATCGCGAAATTACGATCAACGAAGTTACAATCTTGTGCGTCAGTCGATATGAAACGTCGCGGACATCTTGCCTGCAACCTTCGTCCGCAATGACAGTTACGCTGGTAATGGTACGTTAATAACCTATTTTGTGTGAATTATTTTATCTTAACCTCTAGGATGATTATTAATTCTACCGAATCTTTAAATAACGAGCTATATACGAGTAGCTAACAATCCTAATAACTAACAAATTATTTAACCTATAAACGACACAAACTTATGCTACATATTTGAATTTGTATTTAACAGTTTTCGATATGCTTGGTTATAGGCGGACGCGGAGCGAATACCTAAGACAACAAGACAACGCAAACTCCATCGCAATATCCGTGAGTACTTGCAAAAAAACTTTGAACAAAAGTAAACGCCCCCGGGTGGGCTCGAACCACCAACCTTTCGGTTAACAGCCGAACGCGCTAGCCGATTGCGCCACGGAGGCGGTTGGTATCTGGGTCGTACTTACTGTGGATGAATCCCATGAAATGTTAGCTCTGGTACATCTTATAAAATCATGTTTATTAATGCCTGCTTTTTTCAATTTATCGCATCGTTAAACACTCCTTTGTCTGTCGCGAAATCGCTTCGTACGGAAACGACTACTTGATAATTGCATTAAAAAGCGCCTTGAAGAAGGCAACTGATTTCACGAGTTTATCAGATGGGCTCCGTAATCTCAGGAGTAGTTTGTCTTTTCTTGCGCATGCATTTTACAAGACATTTTGTCAAGAAGATGGAAACGCTCTCCCTACGCAGCTCGAAGCCCTTCGCCGTGCTCCGTTGCCTCTCGGTGAACGTAATCTCGATCTGTGGGTTTTTAACAGCGTATTATCCACGACAGCGACGACGACGACGACAACGACCATAAAACGTCTCATAAATCATCATTAGATCCGCACACGATCCTTGGATTAAAATTTTCTGTGACTTTTCATGTCAATTTATCGCAGCACTAAGTGTCTTAATCAAATCGCCGGAAACAAGCGGGCGTTTTTATTCGACTCTGACTCGTAGATTTTGGTGCAAGAAATTTTACCGCGCAACAAGCCGGTTTAATTCCTTCGCTGTTAGCATTTTCTCCAGTCTGCCGTCTTCGTACACCGATGTGCCTTCGACATATGTGCGCGCGCGACGTTTTCTTTTTCTACTTCCGCAGCGTGGAACGACGCGCGTTGCCGGCCGTTCTAGTTTCAAGCTATCGAAACAACCGCGATAGTCGACAGCTATTGCCGGCTGAATGGCAGTCACGATCGAGTCAAATGTACTGTGACGAGTCCGCCGATCAGCTGCGGGGCACAGCTTTAGTTCCGACGTCAGGTGGGCGGCCACCTGTCGGTGCTGTTATACTTTAATTCAGAATCAACGCGCTGAGAGAGAGAGAGAGAGAGAGAGAGAGAGAGAGAGAGAGAGAGAGAGAGAGAGAGAGAGAGAGAGAGAGAGAGAGAGAGAGAGAGAGAGAGAACGAGCGAGCGCGGCTCCCATAATTTCACGGGTCGCGTAATGACATCTCGCCGCTACGAGAAACTATTCCAGCGAATGAAAGACCGAGATAGAGGGCCGACGGGTGAGAAGGAGGGAAGGAGAGGAGGAGAGAGAGTCTTCGGGACGGAAACAACGAAGGAGTGCGCCCTGCATTCTTTAAGATACCCAGCGTCGATAAAGCGATGAGAGGTGGACCGGTCTGTTATAGCGCGCGCGCGCGGCCGCGAGGTACGAAACGATCGATTAACGCGACAATTTGCATTTAAGCGTAACTAACTTCACTTGCGGGACGCAGATGCGCCGTATGCAAAGCGCGCATCGCGCAGTCGGTGCTTGCGAACGGCGAGATGGGCAGCGACGGGCAGCCAATTGCTATTTGCGCCTCGTACAAATTTCCACTTTGCATAGCGCGAAAGCGTCATCGCGGAAGGTCGAGGTCGCGACGTCGGCGGCACTCACTCGACTCACGATTTTAGCACTTTCGAGCCGGAACGAAAAACGCGGTCTGGAAATGGAAAGCGATCAAACGTCACGTTCAAAGTATTCCAAAGTTCCTGCGATCCCTTTCAATCAGAGGCTTTAGCTTTCTTTGATGTCTCGAGGCAAAGACATCAAGTTTCGATCGAAATTGGGCCCGCTCGTAGATTTTAACGAAAGTTGGAGATCTCTTCTCTATTCTGACAGATTTCTCAAATTTTGCTTATAATCGTTTGTCGCAATCTGAAGCGTCAGTGTCAGTTGAAGCGATCATATTTTGTCCCCAGACTTGAACGTTTGAGTTTAAGACAAAATTAGTTCCATCGAAAATTTCAGTATATACTCCGAACCCTTAAATAGAGACCCGAAGTTTTCCGGGCTTCGACTTCAAACGTCGCACGTTTGAAAACAGTCCGGCTGTGAAATTAACTTGACAACGAAGTTAACGCATTTTGCTCGAAGGAAACAGCTTTCCTTCTTATCACCTCAATTCGCTCTCAAGAACCGGAAATTGCGTCTCCTTCGACTCGGCTCATTGTCATACCTCAACAATTTAAGCACTCACTTCCGCGTGAGTGTACTGAATCCTCCTTCGGACATACTCGTATCAAACAATCCGCCACCCTCATACCTTCCTCGCGCCAAACAACGAGTTTCGTCCTTGCCGCAGTGCACGCAATAACACCCCGCCCGCGAACTGCGGAGTCATAAACCACCGGGGTCGCACGCTCCGTCGGGCATGGCCGCCGCGGCCGCGAATAATGCAGGCAGCAGGGATCGGCGAAATGTTTAAATTAAGACGGCAGGGGCGGCGAGAGCGGCGCGAGGTGTCGATAATGAATCTCCGCGTTAATTAGCCTCCGGAGGCGAGGCGATAGGTAGTTTCGTCGTGGCATACCGATATCTTCCTCCTCGCTCGAGTCCCGCTCGAGGTAAAGCCTAACTGAAACGTCACGCCACTTGTTACTCGTTAGTGCGCACGATGCCATCTTTACTGGCGGCCGTGCGGCCCGGTTACCTCGCGGCCGGTAGCCGCATCGATATCGGCACGACCGTGTAATTAACAATGTTCCCCGGCCCGGAGCTAACCGGCTCCACGCTTCGGCGGAACGCGCGCGAGCGCGCTTCTCGACAGATTCCAGCGCGCGCGACGGAGATGCCGCGACGCGCGTGTATCGGCGCCGATCTGCCGGCCGAGGCCGGCGAGCCTCGGGGATGACAAACGCGCGTGGCGGGCGAATTTCAGCTCAGCGAGCTCTCGACAGATCGGTCTCGACGGCAAACTTTTCCGAAAGAAGCGCGGCCGTCAGGATCACGCGCGACTCGAGGAAGTGAGCTTTCACAAGTTTTTACACCCGAGCACGTCGCTCTGTATTTTTCCATTGAAATGTTAGGAAATCTCTCGCGACCCGGCGACCTCGGGAAAATGTCGCGCTACGAGCTAGAAGTAAAAACCAAGCCGGCTCGAAGCGAGATTTTCGCAGCGTCCACGGCTCCGTCGCTCCGTCGCGAACAACGGTCCGGCGTGATCCGGAAAGGGTTAATGACGAAGTCAGGTGTAGCCCGCACGCCCTCGCGGACAGGTTCGTGCAGATCCCATCTGCGGAGTATCTCGACCGCGCGTCGACAGAGAGCTCCTCCATTACGCTGGGCGGTGGTGGCTCGTCGTTATATCTGGGACAGCGGAGTCGCGCTGATCTGATAGTCCCAGGATTTATGGTGACCCTGATGGTCCATTTAGCGGTGACACGAGCTGGACGGGCACGGGCGGGGGCACGGCGAGGCGCTATCGCTTGTGTGAGCGTGCGCATGAGCGCGACAATACGGAAATATCTTGTTAAAAACGGGTCGGGTAGGCCGCTAGATTGGACGACGACGACGACGACGACGACGACTCGGCTGCACGGGTGCATCCAACGCGTGAGTGAGCGCGAGCGCGAATTGAAGAATGGCACCGTGCACTCTTCTCAACGAGGAAATGCTCGCTCTAATTTAACGGGACTAACGGGGCTCGAAGTAACGAGCGAGCAAACGTCGAGTCGGCCGAAGCTGAGAAGCGAGCGATGCGAGGTAATTTTCTGCGGGTTTTTTCAGCGATCTGACGTTCGACCGATTTGACCGGGTTTTATCACTCATCTATAGTTTCCTCTTCCTTTCTCCCTCTCTCCTTGTGAAAACGTAAAAATTCCCGTGTCGAGGAGGATGTCGATCACACCGCTGCGTCGGCTTGTTAGCCGCCACGGATGAAGACGTTTTAGGAGAATTAATATTTCAGACGGCTGTATTACGTCTCTCCTCCCCCCTCCCCTCCCCTCTCTCTCTCTCTCTCTCTCTCTCTCTCTCAGGCCGCGATAGTTAGCACGGTCGTACTTT